CAGTGGGCCTGAATCCATAGCTTCTTCCCCTCCTCCATGATACTCCTCTCTTAGGGGACTTTTTCAAATTCACCAAAAAACTTCATGCAGGAAAAAGTTGCACATTTCATAGGTTAACTAGTCATGCTGTAATTTACATATTATCTGGCTGCAAAGTATAATCAGACCCTCATAGTCAATCATAGTCATCCACTCACCTTCTCTGGTTTTAAATGCTCTCACCGTGGATTAAACAGTTAATTAAACAATTTTTCAGCCTGTGAGGGTGAGAGAAGATTCTCCTTCTTTGGGAAGCTGGAGCAAAGGGCATGAGTTTGCCATCAGATGAGGGTTTATGTTGTGGCTGTTCCATACGTGAGTGGTGAAACCTTCCCACAGGGGTATCCTATCGGCACCTCTGCAAAATGGCAGAGAGGTGATTGGGATTGCACTGAAAGCATCCATGAGAGTTCCTGGCTCATAAGAAATGAGTAATGTATTATAATTATTATAATTTCTTACTTACACTTTTTAATTGTACAATGTCAGTAATGTACTGAGTAACCAGCAATGAGTAATCACTGACTAATGTGACTCAGAGATTAATATTTCATTAGAAAAACTGTTACTGTCCTGGGCAGCCTTCCCTCAAAGTCCCACTGCCTCAATGGTCACTTTTTTCCTGAGGGTTATGTTTACCTTTGCATCTGGGAAGGAGCCGGTGTGGGCTTGGGCTCCTGGGTGCAGCAATGTTGCGGTGCCTGAATGGCATGCACTTTGATACAGCACCAGACAGTGGCCCGTACCCCAAGAGGCAGCTGGGTCGTTTTCTGGGCTGTCAGGCTGCTGGTGCTTGTTTGCCGACTCATCTGTTTTGTACAAACTCTTCGAGTGACCCTTTTGACCCATCCTGTGCCTGTAACTTCAGATCCCAGACAGCCAGAAAGCTTCTTTACATTTGTCCCAGTTTATCTCTCTCCAATATTCGTGGTGAATTGAGGGAAAGAGGCCACGTGAAGAATGTTTACAGCAGGAAATGAAAAGAAGACACTGTCTTCTTCCTGGGCACCCTCAGCAGCTTGGGCAAGTGAGGCGTTGCCTGTTTGCTGAGCGTGAGAATTAGGTCCTGAAACATCCTCCACAGTCCCTCCCAGGGTAAGCGCCTGATCTCTCCCTCCTGGGGAGGCAAGGGGAGCAGGGTCAGGGGGAAGCTGAAAATGAAAGCCACGCTAGGAGGGAAGGAGGAGGCAGAGTTCTTTGTTTCTTTCCTTCAGGCTTGAACAACTTGTCATCTTTGTGGGAGACCTCTGCGACTGTCAGCATGCTCCCAACCGAGAACAACTTAACCGGAGATCAGAGCTTCAGCGGCATAATTTTTCTCCTCTCATTCACCTTCAGATTCTGACACCTTTTCAGTAACCTAGAAAACAAATATCCAAGAAACCTGAATGTCAGTTTCAGGTTTTAAAAACAGCTTTAGAACTGTACCTTTCTCCCTTGAATGACTCCTTGTACAGCCAAAGATGCCATGATGAAAACACACACTACATATTTGCATCTTCGGTGTTCCACTCATGAATTTCCAGGACTGCTCTGTAGTCCTGAATACAGAACACCTCTGTTAGCACAGAGCAGGAATTTAAATGCATCTGGGAAACAAAATCAGTCAATAATAATGTTATTCTACACCAGATGGAGCTTATAAATGTGATCAAAATACCATCCTGTAAAATCAGTGTGCATATAAATCCTTACAGTAAGAGCTCTTTCTAGTGATAGTTTTTCCAGGATTTTTCATTGTCTCCTGCTCAATTTCTACAAGTGGACAAAGCTTAAGAGAATGATTTCTAGATCTTTATCTTACAATGTAATTGTTTATCAAATACCAAAACAATCCTCAGCCAGATAGAAGGCATGCTTGGGACTGAGCATAAATGCAAAGAGGAAATTGAAAATAAATTAATTTTTCCAGTTCACTTATTGCTTTGTCATATAAAATCCTGGGAATAGATGGGGCCAGAACTCTTTGTCTACTAATGAATAATTGTATTTCTAAGTATACAGCAGCACCTGGTCAAAAAATCTTTATGGGTGTCAAGTCTGACTTATACAGACACAATTAATTGCAAGGTTGGAATACAAGAAACCAGGCAGCTTCACTTCTGTGTAACCAAATCAGTTTGGCTTCTGTACTGAAACATCTAAATGTGGTTACTAAGCATAGGTTATAATAAAAAGAGGAAGAAAACTATGATAGTCCAGCACACTTTTGCTCATTCAGAAAAAAAAGATATGAATTCTAAAGTAGCAATGAAAAAAATCAAATATCTTCTTAAAAGTATGTCACTCATGTTATTGCCTGCTCTTCTAAATGAGGCCCTTTTTCCCTCCTTTATCCTTTGGGCTCCTGGAAATATTAACGGTTATTGAGGAGAAATTTTTACCCCAAATAATGTTGTGGCTGAGACCCAATCATAAAGAATTTTGCAACTGTAGGCTCACTTTGTGCTTTATCTAACTCAATTACGTTGGTTTTGCCTCCTGAAGCCTCAATACATAGAGCAAAGTACAGGTGATCAGAATGTTCTCCCATAGATCCCATTCCAGGAAACTGTCCTGTGAATCCCTCCAGTCAGCAGGTGTTTGTGTGAGCAAGAATGAAGAAAGCAAATGAGAGTTAACAGCTGGTCGGGAGCAGTGACTCACACCTGTAATCCCAGCACTTTGTGAGGCCGAGGTGGGCAGATCACCTGAGGTCAGGAGTTCAAGACCAGCCTGGCCAACATGGCAAAACCCCATCTCTACTAAAAATACAAAAATTCGCTTAGTGTGGTGGTGCATTCCTGTAATCTCAGCTACTTGAGTGGCTGAGGCAGGAGTATCGCTTGAACCCAGGAGGCGGACATTGCAGTGAGCCAAGATCATACCATTGCACTTCAGCCTGGGCGGCAGAGTAAGACTCTGTCTCAGAAAAAAAAAGTTAACAAGCATTTATTAATCACACATTATGCACTGTGCACCAGTAAGGTAGTAGGGTTCTAGGCTTTAGATATCATATTTCATGCAATACCCACAAAACCCAAGAAAAGTATCCTTCTCATTTTATGAATGAGGTAAAACTATGTATAAAGGAGTGAACAGCCAGTAACTGGCGGCTTTTCTGAATTCAGAGTCATTCCCTTAACTAGCAGGAGCTTTCACATTGATTAATGCATTCAACCATCACCATAACCCAACTACAAAGTACTATTATTCTTCCCACCTTTTCCATTGGAGTAATTCAGACAGAGGTGACTTTCTCAAGGCCACAGTTAGTAAGTGATAGAGTGAGAATTTGCACACTTTCAAAGCCTATATTCTTTCTACCATCCCACATTGCCTCCATCAAGCATTTGGTGTACATATTTTTAGAGAGTCCATGTCCAACTTTGTATTTAAAAGACAAATATAAGAGAAAAGCATTCACAGCACCAAGAGATATAATTTTAAGGTTCTGTCCTTTTACAGAAAGGAAAGGGTAGAGGAAACATTGTGCTGGCAAGGAGAATAGGCTTTAGTTTGCAGGGAAGACAGTGCAGGAAAGGGAGTCTGTCTCTGTACCTGAGGTACTGAAGGATATACCCAGACTGCTAGAAGAAGGAATTTATATCAAGTACAGTGATACTTGATATAAATTCCTACTAGCAATAGAAAACTCCAGAACAGTGACTTAAATAGGAGTTAATTTTTCCTGCATAACAAGAAAGCTAGTGGTGAAGGCTTCAGGTGCTGGCTCAGCTGCTCAAAGATGCCGTCAGAACCTAGCTTCTTCCCCTCCCATCCCTCCACCCATACCCTATTGGCCTTCTCCTCATGTGAGACAGAAGACATTGCATCCATCCTAAAGTCAGGAACCAAAGGGGAGAGGCTGCATCAACCAAATGTTTCCATATCAGCAGAAAAGCAAAAGCTTTGTCAGACCCCTCCAGTCCCCAGCAGACTTCCACTTAGGTCTCATCCAACAGGATTATGTACCATGCCACTCCAGCAGATGAGGAGGCTAAAAGAGCAAGTACCTATCAGGACACCTTGCCAACCCAGCAAAATTGTGCCCTCTTATGGATGGGGTGGTGTGGGAAGAGAGAGAGCAAGCCCTGGTGTACGAGGCTAGTGTGGAGGGGACACAAATGTGCTAGGGCAGCAGGGCTGTACTTGGGAGAAGGAAGAGGGCATGGATGAGGCGGGAGTGGAATGTTGTCCTGCCCTTTGAATTTGTGATATTTAAGTGGCCGCAGAGGACCACACCAGTACCTACTCCTTCCTACATCCTATTCTTGACACTCTATTCTTTCTGCCCCAATCCCAGACCAACAGCCCTTTGTGCTAAGCAACATGATAAGAATTAGATCTTGGGAGGCCGCGGCGGGTGGATCACGAGGTCAAGATATCGAGACCATCCTGGTCAACATAGTGAAACCCCGTCTCTACTAAAGATACAAAAAATTAGCTGGGCATGGTGGTGCGTGTCTGTAATCCCAGCTACTCAGGAGGCTGAGGCAGGAGAATTGCCTGAACCCAGGAGGCGGAGGTTGCGGTGAGCCGAGATCGTGCCATGGCACTCCAGCCTGGGTAGCAAGAGCGAAACTCCGTCTCAAAAAAAAAAAAAAAGAATTAGATCATCTGACTCACTGTTTTGTTTTGCTTTTTTAGTCCTTAGCAAATAATAGTTATTCAATAAATGATTGCTTAATTAATCAATGAAGGAGATGAAGAAATTCTCGGTTGATATCAGCTGGCAAGGGCCTTTGACTGCTGTGGCCAGAGGTGTTCACTACTTCCAAGGAGAAGCTACTCAGGGGCCCAGGGAGTCTGGACACTGGAATCTACCCATACAAAGGCCAGCAAAGAGGTTCAACCTCAGATGAGAGGAATCTGGGGAGCTTGATGATTTTCCAGTTTTGAATCTCACTGAAAACACCTCTGTGGCCTTGTTGCTGCATCCTGTGATTATAGCTCCATGGTTTCCTTCTTTGTCTTTGCAGAGCCAGCTCTCCCAGGCGCTGAACGGACTGTCAGACAGGGCTAAGGAAGCCAAGGAGTTTCTGGTACAGCTCCGCAACATGGTCCAGCAGATCCAGGTATGGGCATTACCTGGGACACAAGGAAACCCCATGGGCTGATATATAATTGTGCGGCAGGAGAGTTTTTTTCTCCTTTTATTTTTATGTGTTATGGGAAAATTCCTTTTTGTTGTTGTTGTTGTTCTTTACATTCAAACACACATAGAGATCAACTTCAAACATACCCCTTCTTAAGGTAGTTTCTTTTTGCCAACAAGCCAGAAACACAGCCTGATTTTCCAACTGGTTCCTGGCTTCCACACTGAGGTCCTAATTCTCTACTACTAAATATGCAGAAAGAGGCCTATTTCTCTGTAAATTCAGGGTTCTTATTGCTGAGTTTGTAAGACCCTGTAGGTTCTCAAAACACCTTGTAATAATTGTATTATTTAATGGTAACAGGTCATAGTTTTCTCTTTTTTTCATCCTTCCTTTATTTCCTTCCTGCCTTTCATTTTTTTCTTTTGTATTCCTCCCTTCTTCCTTCTTTCTTTTTTTCTTCCTTCCTTTCGTTCTTCTTTTCTTCCTCCCTGACCCACAATAATGCTTCTCCTCCACTTAGACATTTAAATATTTTTCCACCGTGATCCCCTGGCAACTGTAATTTCAGATTGCTTTATCTAGACACAATGACCAGCAAGCAATTCAAGCAGCATTTAAGAGCTCATAAATTCTCCACTAGAGCTGAAGGGGAAAAACCATAAACTATATGAGACACCAAAATAATGACCCTCTTATGTTTTGAAGTTTGCCTCACAGAAATAACCTTAGCTTGTTTTTTGCTGGCCTCCAGTAAATTGACTAAGTTCATATTTCGCCATGTCAAGGCAGGTATGGATTATTAAATGGAAGCCAGCCTTTCAAAGAATTACACACTGATTTCTTTGCCTTTTTTTGGCACACAGGCCCATGTTAAACTTTTGATTCCCTAACAACCTAGCAGTTTTGTATACTTCCTTCTGTTTTCCAAAGCAATTAGTTTATCAATCAGTTCTTTCTTTACTCTACTGGCATAAAATGTGCAGCCCCAGGCTTGCCTCTGCCCGGGCCTCTTCATCAGAGCAAAGCTTTCTTTGTGCTCTAAATCAATGACCGAGCTTACAAGGAGAAGGTCTCCCCTCACCCCACACTCCAATATTACCCTGCATGTGGCATAGAAAGCTCTTAAATGATGTTTTCCAAGGGCCTTCTCTGAGAGCCCAAAAGCAATTGCCTTGAAATCCAAAATTTAGCATTGCTCAAGCAATTATTAATGCATTCCTTATATGAAGACCTTGCATATGAAAACAGTTATTAAATGCCTATCAGTTGATTATTATATAAAGAAACACAGTTCTTTATGGCTTTAGTAATAAATTAAAATTTGTTGGGTTAAATTATTTCTTCCTTGCCAGCCCCCAAAGCTTTATAGTTTACTATAAACTGGGTAGTGCTTTGTAAGTACTATGTGAGTATTTAGCTTTCATTCACTGTGCATTACTTTTTTTCAGATTATGGCTTAGGAATCAAAATTGTATATGTAACTCATTGAAACGATTATCCTTAATAAATGCATATAACTCATTGAAAGAATTGCTTAAAAGAAATGTTTATGGCATGTATAGATTTAAATAAAATAAAAATGTTATATCCAGCATTTAATTTAAACATCATGGGAAAGTTATAATTCATTTAGTATGTAGCTGCCTTTCTGCTGCAAGGTGTTGGGTCATGTCTGACTTTTATGCCAGGGTGATCGCTATTACATACATTGATTGTTTTTAACCACCTACTATTTGCTCTTCTTAATGAAAGAGGCAAATACTTTTGCCCATTACTGTTGTATCTTATAAACTTCTGTTCTCATTGGATTGTTGTTAATACTGAAGACCAGTGCCATTTTCTTTCTTCTTCATTCCTTTGATTTTAATGATTTCTTGTGCCTCGGCAATGCCCTGCTCACTCCTCATTGGCTTTTTGAACGCCAGCTTCCACCATATATAGCTAGACGTATATGGCCCTCAAAAGCATTCATGCCCAACTCTATAAGCTAAAGCTTTGTTTTATTTAATTTAATTCAAATTGTGGAAATGATTTCCTTTTGATAAATTTAAGCAATAAATATTTATCCTTTTCAATCTAAATTTAAGGTGGAACATGACCACTGTAGAATAAAGTTTATCCAGTTTTTTTTTTAAATTACCAAATGTGCATTGTGGGCAGAGTTCCTTTTCATTCCCTTCAGGAGGATGGGGGAGCTCTGTTTTCTCTGGCAGCCTAAGGCACCCAGCACCTTGCAGTTGAGAAATGTGCTCTATTACACAGGAGAACAGTGTGGAGTTTGAAGCCTGTCTGGTGGCCCAGTGTGATGCCCTCATCGATGCCCTCAACAGAAGAAAAGCCCAGCTGCTGGCCCGTGTCAACAAGGAGCATGAGCACAAGCTGAAGGTGAGTGCTGCATCATGGGAAAAAACAGAAAGCCAACAAGCCAGGCTTCTGGGGGGCATGATGGACAGGCTGGGAGAATTCCTTCCCCTGGACAGGAAGAGAGGATGTCCACAGCCTTGGGCAGCCAGTGGTCTGACCAGAAAGGAGCATACACATCCCTCCATTCACTATGTACTCCTTCATTTACCTAAATTATGTTTGTTGAGTGACTTTTCTGGGCCAGGAACTGCTATGGACACAGGAATAATAAATCAAAATTATTGCCTTCATGGGACTTATATTCTATCAAGAGGGATAAATAATAAGCAAGATAAGTGTCTTCCTCCATTTTATGTTGATATAACAGAATACCAGAGACTGGGTGATTATAAACAATAGAATTGTCTTTAGCTCATAGTTCTAGAGGCTAGAAAGTCCAAAAGCATGCTGTTGGCTTCTGGTGGGCCTTCATGTTGCATCATCCCGTGGCAGAAGGCAGAAGGATAGCGAGCATCAGAAACAGAGAGGATAGGCCCAAACTTCCACCTTTTATTGGGAGCCCACTCCCATGATAATTAACCCACTCCCAAGATAATAGCATTCATCCTAATCACTCCTTAAAGGCTCTACCTCTTAATACTTTTATAATGGCAATTAAATTTCAACATGGATTTTAGAGGAGATATTTAAACCATAGCAATAAATAAGAAAATTTGGAGCATATTAGTAAAAAGTGTTAAGAAAAATGTTAACAGTAGGAAAAGAGGATAGTGAGTACTGGGGATGGGGGTTGAAATTTTACATAGGATGGCCATAAAGAGGCAAAAATGTGTTTTTGAATTGAGAAATAGAATTTGTGCTTTCTAGAAAACAAACATGGTTTGTCTTAACTCCTCAACTGAACTTTACAGTGGGAAACTGTACAGAAGTTTGTCATGACACAGTAGAATCAATTGGCTATAATAATGGGACCCTATTGGCAGGACTGGCCCTCCAGGAGACATCTGCTATTCCACCTATCACCCCATTGGTGCAGGGCAACAAAATGTGAGAGGAAGGATGAGTGGATGGGCAGAGCAAACCAGAAGGGGTCCAGCAGTACACACTTAGCTAGGGCTCACACATGCGGCCATCAGGCCTCAGAGTGGCAGGTAGTGGGTAGGTGGTGTGCAGTGTTGGCATGGGATTAAGATGAAGGGAGAAATGAGGTCTGACCATATTCTCATGGTGCTGGGCAAAGGACAAGAGGAGAGAGGGACATAAAAGGTGGCTCAGAAGGAGTCCTGCCCTTGTGGAGTTTACAGTTCAATGGAAGAGATAAGCTATACCCACAGCTGACTCCAACACAGATAGAGAGTGGGCTTCCAGGAGAGCGGTGCCCAATGTCATAGAAGTTGTGACAGGGAAAGATTACTTGCAGCTAAAATGGTCATGGAGTACCTCAAGAGCTGGCAACTGAGTAGTCCAAATTGGAGGAAGTGTGTGTTAATGACCACTTACATTCCTGCCTACAGGATTCGGCAAAGCTGTCAGGGAAGGAGAGGGTGATTAGCACATACGTGGTCTTTCTTTTGGTTCCCTATGAAGTTTAAGGTGGTTTTTTCCAGTTCTGTGAAGAAGGTCATTGGTAGCTTGATGGGGATAGCAATGAATCTATAAATTACTTTGGACAGTATGGCCATTTTCACAATATTGATTATTCCTAACCATGAACATGGAATGTTTCTCCATCTGTTTGTCCTCTCTTATTTTGTTGAGCAGTGGTTTGTAGTTCTCCTTGAAGAGGTTCTTTACATCCTTTGTTAGTTGTATTCCTAGGTATTTTATTCTCTTTATAGCAATTGTGAATGGCAGTTCATTCTTGATTTGGCTCTCTTTAAGTCTGTTATTGGTGTATAGGAATGCTTGTGATTTCTGCACATTGATTTTGTATCCTAAGACTTTGCTGAAGTTGCTTATCAGTTTCAGGAGACTTTGGGCTGAGACGATGGGCTGCAGACAATCATGTTGTCTGCAAATAGAGACAATTTGACCTCCTCCTTTCCTAATTGAATACACTTTATTTCTTTTGCTTGCCTGATCGCTCTGGCTAGAACTTCCAATACTGTATTGAATAGGAGTGGTGAGAGAGGACATCCTTGTCTAGTGCCAGATTTCAAAGGGAATGCTTCCAGTTTTTGCCCATTCAGTATGATATTGGCTGTTGGTTTGTCATAAATAGCTTTTATTATTTTGAGATACGTTCCATTGATACCTAGTTTATTGAGAGTTTTTAGCATAAAGGGCTGTTGAATTTTGTCAAAGGCCTTCTCTGCATCTATTGAGATAATCATGTGGTTTTTGTTTTTGGTTCTGTTTATGTGGTGAATTACGTTTATAGACTTGCATATCTTGAACCAGCCTTGCATCCCCAGGATGAAGCCTACTTGATCATGGTGGATAAGCTTTTTGATGTGCTGTCACAATTAGTTTGCCAGTATTTTATTGAAGATTTTTGCATCTATGTTCATCATGAGTGTTGGCCCGAAGTTTTCTTTTCTTGTTGAGTCTCTGCCCAGTTTTGGTATCAGGATGATGTTGGTCTCATAAAATGATTTGGGAAGGATTCTCTCTTTTTGGATTATTTGGAATAGTTTCAGATGGAGTGGTACCAGTTCCTCTTTGTATGTCTGGTAGAATTCAGCTGTGAACCCATCTGGACCTGGGCTTTTCTTGGTTGGTAGGCTTATTAATTGCTGCCTCAAATTCAGCCCTTGTTATTGGTCTATTCAGTGTTTTGACTTCTTCCTGGTTTAGGCTTGGGAGGGTGCAAGTGTCCAGGTATCTATCCATTTCTTTCATGTTTACTGGTTTGTGTGCATAGAGTTGTTTGTAGTAATCTCTGATGGTAGTTTGTATTTCTGTGGGAATCTGTGGTGATATCCCCTTTATTGTTTTTTATTGCATCTATTTGATTATTCTCTTTTGTTTTTTATTAATCTGGCTAGTGGTATATTTTGTTGATCTTTTCAAAAAACCAGCTCCTGGATTTATTGATTTTTTGAAGGTTTTTTTGTGTCTCTATCTCCTTCAGTTCTGCTCTGATCTTAGTTATTTGTCTTCTGCTAGCTTTTGAGTTTTTTTTATCTTGTTCCTCTAGCTCTTTCCATTTTGATGATAGGGTGTCAATTTTAGATCTTTCCTTGCTTCTCATGTGGGCATTTACTGCTATAAACTTCCCTCTGGACACTGCTTTAAACGTGTCCTAGAGATTCTAGTTTGTTGTGTCTTTGTTCTTGTTGGTTTCGAAGAAGATCTTTATTTCTGCCTTCATTTCACTGTTTATCCAGTCAACATTCAAGAGCCAGTTGTTCAGTTTCCATGAAGTTGTGCAGTTCTGAGTTAGTTTCTGAATTCTGAGTTCTAATTTGATTGCACTATGGTCTGAGAGACTGTTATGATTTCAGTTGTTTTGCATTTGGTGAGGAGTGATTTACTTCCAATTATGTGGTCAATTTTAGAGTAGGTGTGTTGTGGTGCTGAGAAGAATGTATATTCTGTGGGTTTGGGGTGGAGAGTTCTGTAAATGTGTATTAGATTTGCTTGGTCCAGATCTGAGTTAAAGTCCTGGATATCTTTGTGAATTTTCTGTGTCATTGATCTGTCTAATATTGACAGTGGAATGTTAAAGTCTCCCATTATTATTTTGTGGGAGTCTTAAGTCTCTTTGTAGGTCATTAAGAACTTGCTTTATATATCTTGGTGCTCCTGTATTGGGTGCATATGTATTTAGGATCGTTAGCTCTTCTCGTTGCATTGATCCTTTTGCCATTATGTAATGCTCTTCTTTGTCTTTATCAGAGACTAGGATTGCAACTCTTGCTTTTTTTTTTTTTTTTTTTTTGCTCTCCATTTGCTTGGTAAATCTTCCTCCATTCCTTTATTTTGAGCCTGTGTGTATCCTTGCACATGAAATGGGTTTCCTGAATACAGCACCCAATGTTTGACTTTTTATCCAATCTGCCAGTCTATGTCTTGATTGGGGCATTTAGCCCATTTACATTTAAGGTTAATATTATAATGTATGAATTTTATCCTGCCATTTTGATGCTAGCTGGTTTTTTTGCCCATTAGTTGAGGCAGTTTCTTCCTTGTGTCAACATTCTTTACCATTTGGTAGTTTTTGGAGTGGCTGGTACTGGTTGTTCCTTTCTATGTTTAGTGCTTCTTTCGTGAGCTCTTGTAAGGCAGGCCTGGTGGCGATAAAGTCTCTCAGCAATTGCTTGTTCATAAAGGATTTTATTTCTCCTTCACTTATGAAGCTTAGTTTGGCTGGATATGAAATTCTAGGTTTAAAGTTCTTTTCTTAATGATGTCGAATATTGGTCCCCACTTTCTTCTGGCTTTCTGCTGAGAGATCCACTGTGAGTCTGATGGGCTTCCCTTTGTGAGTGACTCGACCTTTCTCTCTGGCTGCCCTTACCATTTTTTCCTTCATTTAAACCCTGGTGAATCTGAGGATTATGTGCCTTGGGGTTACTCTTCTTGCAGAATATCTTTGTGGTGTTCTCTGTATTTCCTGGACTTGAATATTGGCCTGCCTTGCTAGGTTGGGGAGGTTCTCCTGGATAATATCCGGAAGAGTATTTTCCAGCTTGGATTCATACTCTCTGTCACATTCAGGCACACCAATCAACGTAGATTAGGTCTTTTCACATAATCCCTATTTCTTGGAGGCTTTGTTCATTTCTTTTAACTCCTTTTTTCTCTAATCTTGCCTTCTCATTTTATTTCATTGAGTTAATCTTCAATCTCTGATATCCTTTCTTCTGCTTGGTCCATTTGGCTATTGGCTGTTGAAACTAGTGTATGCTTCATAAAGTTCTCATGTTGTGTTTTTCAACTCTCAATTCATTTATATTTGTCTCTAAGCTGTTAATTCTCATTAGCATCTTGTCAAACCTTTTTTCAAGGTTCTTAGCTTCTTTACATTGGGTTAGAACATGTTCTTTTAGTTCAGAGAAGTTTGTTATTACCCACTT